TTTGTTTTTAGAATTACCAAAAAAAAAAAAATTATATTTTTGTAAATGCCAGCAAGCCTAGTCACAGTGACATTTTTTAGAATTTTTTGTGTGTAGCTTTCTTCTAATTCAAAGGTTTATATTATTTGGTCAGTATCAGATACAACTGTCTTACAGTGTATGACTTGGGTCAAACCTTTTGAGTTTTCTTTTACAAGTTTCTCACAGCACCTTGCTGGAGTTCTGGCCCATTCCACCCGACAAAATTGGAGGAACTCAGTTTTGTGGGCCGCCTCACTCACACACACACACCCACACACATGACTTTTCAGCTTTCACAAAACTCAAAAGCATACCATTTCCTCCTGCAGTGAAACAGCTCCACAACATGATGCTGCCACCCCCATACTTCAGTTAGTTTAAGCGAAAGTTCAACCATTTTTTTTTATTTCATTTTGAATATCTACACCCATGTACACCTGTCCAAAATTCAAAATATTCTCATTTCATGCTTAAAATCCAATCTTTGTGCAAGTCTGCCCCAACAAAGGTGGCGTATTCGGGATTTGCCTGCACCAAAGCCCCAATTTATTCAAGATTTCCAGCGTCTTCCCAGTGTCACTCCTTTAATCCCAGTTTCCTCCTCCTGTCCTCAGCTGGATCCAGAGGCAGGTACGTACTTGTGCAGGTGAGAACACGACACGCTGCAGTCGTGCACAGGGGCACGGCAGCCCCTGACATCATCGCATTCCTCAGGTCTTACCTAGACGCAGCGCGCGAAGCGTTAAACAACAGCTAAAAACCGCACACTGTAAACACAGATCACCTCAGCCGTTTCCTCCAGCATCCAGCTGTAATCTAAAAAAGCACGAAGGGTAACCGGGCGGGGGGAGTGAGGTGTATGTCATTGGACGGCTGCCATCTTCTCTGCCGGGATGAGGTCAGTGCTGAATTAACCCTTTTTTTGTCACGAAAAGGTGCGCAATGGGTTCATTTGGGCTGTTTGCTGCTGGCTAACGATAAGAAGAAAGGCAAGAGTTCAAAACTGAGATCATTCAAAACCAGAGGCAGAAGTAAGGCGTTTCCAAACTTTTACAGCCTCAAAGTTAAGAGTTGTCAATCTTTTTTTTTAGAACACTATTAAAGGATAAAGGCAAAACTTTGCCATGAATGGATTTTCCTTACTTACTCAGAGAAAATTTAAAAAAAATCCCCAGACTTTACAGAAGCTTCACATCTAATGCTCTGACACTAGAGGGCAGCAGAGACAAAACATCTTTGAGCGGTGATTTCTACACCCTGACTTAAGTCCCATTTGACTACTTCACACATTTTAAAGCGAGCTTAGTGCCAAACCCTAAACTAACTGATTTACAGCTTCTGCATGCCTGTTTGTAATCCCCGTAAGCACCGGCGGCTTCCAATCACTGCAATCCGTTACGCACCCGCCTTTAAACGGCTTCACTGACATCTGAAATGAGAACGTCAGGATCAAATCGGCTTATGTCATGGTGGATTCTGATCACACACGCACACACACACACACACACACACACACCACTGAACCGCTTCAGAACCCAAAAAAAAAGGGCATAGTCAGATGTCACCGACCTCCTCCTCTCTCACACTCTTGCCTCAATCGTCCCCTTATTTGTCAGATTGCGCCGACGCATCAGCAACGTTGATTAAATTGCAAATGTTCATGACACTGCCGATGACCAGCTGTGGGGATAAAGTGAACAGAGACGCAAATTTCATTAATCTAAGAGATCTGGCTAGTAAATCGTTGCTCTGCTCAGATGACGGTCAGAGTCAAAGGTCAGACTGAGAGCCAGCTGGGGCAGTGTGGGCTAATAAAATAGCACGTCTATGCATATTTGCCGGCGTTTATGTTTAATTTGATTATTGGTGAGTTGGAGGAACGCTGTGCACTTTACTTCTAGACACCGTCGCTGACAGTCTATCCCATTTTTGCACTTCTGACCAGTCCATACCCCTTCATCACCGTCGAGCGTCGTCGGCACCGCTGGCGGCTCTGCAGAGCTCTTTGTCAGTGAGACAGCAGGTGTGCCATAACTCAGCCAACAAGCTGCCCCCAACCCCGATAGAGTAGAGACTGCCAGTTGCCATGGAGACTGGCTCAATGAAGCATCCATTTTACCCCCTCACCTCCTACAAATGGCCTCGTGAAGATGGACGCATGCCACAAACAACAATTACAGACCCGATTCGCTTTTCTATGCGCTCTGCACTGTTTTATCCATTTATACCTCAATTAATGGTTCCATAGTGCAACTTTTTTGGGCAGTTTTATGTTTAATCTGCTATGCAGGGTGATTATGTGCTATATCTATGATTTAGAAGAGGTTAATTAATTATTAACAAGCACTGCAGGTTACTTATTGCCATTTTCTCTGGTATATAATTGAAAGAAAAGGCCGTATCTACAGTATGTATTAAAAACAAGGAATTTATTGAACCTCTTCTCACAGTTGCGACACATACATGGCTTTGTTACCATCAGCAAGTTTTTGGCTGCTTCATCTTCTAGATATTAAAAGTAGGGGTGCACCGACAGCAGCTTTCTGGCCCATCAATCTTGAACACGCCTGACCTGCTGATTCAGATTTTGGCCGAGACCGATTTTTGTATAACTGAAAATGTGACAGAGTCACCGAGTTTGCAACGGTGGGGTGACTATTGTTAACCATGCATGTCCACACGTGAACTGGTGGGTGGGTCTGTCGGTGAGCCCTCTCTCAAAGCAGAGCAAAAGGGGACAGTGGTTGATTTTCAGACCTTTGTGGAGCCAGATAAGATCGGTTTCACATGCAAGTATCAACCGATTATTGATCGAAGTAAGGAAATAGGAGTTGATCAATCAGTCGACCGATTTATTGGTGCACCACAAATTAAAAGTGTCAATAACTTCTTACATATATCTCATTAATTAAATTATAATAAAAAAACTAATACATTACACTGCAAGATTTTTTAAGAGCAATAATTCATTAAGCATTTTAGTAAATATTACAACATGAAATGCATTCAAAATTCATAATAAAAAAGAAAACTAAAATATTTTGAAGTTTACCAAATTTCAAAGTTGTTCTTTTGCTGTCCACCATAGATTGCTTAAAACTGATGCAATAGCTCATCAAATAGATTACAAGATATGACCGGTTAACTTGCAGCCAATTACTTTTAACTGTAATGTGCATGCATTTATGTACAATGGAGATTATTTCACGAGACATTAAAGTATCAGTTTATGATCTACTTAATTATTCACTTATTTAATTATGTGAAAGTGAAAAGGACGTCGGTGCATAGTGAAAAGCTGACTGGCCTGAGGTTTACGTGCTGTGCAGGCTGGCCAATCACATTATGGAGGATAATGTGGGAGCCATCATCTTTGCATAAGATATACGATCAGAAAATCTTCAGTGATCATCATTGAACATTATGGAGGATAATGTGGGAGCCATCATCTTTGCATAAGATATACGATCAGAAAATCTTCAGTGATCATCATTGGTGTAATAAATTGTAAAATAACAGCAGCAGGCCACGCAGCTTTGTTCAATAGCGAAGCTAAGAGCCTCTCCATATGCAAATACAAAGAGAACTGTGGGGGCAGTGTTGTGTCTGGGACTGCATTCTTTGGACTCAAAGTGTCCAAAGAATGAGGTCAGCTCGCTACCTGAATATACCGAATGACCAGATTATACTATCAATACATTTCTTCTCCACTGATTGCTTGGCCATATTCCAAGATGACAATGGCAGGATTCATCAGGCTAAAACTGTGCCAAAGTGGTTTAAGGAGTGCGAGACATCATTTTCAGCGATGGATTGGCCAGACCCTATTGAGAATCTTTAAGCTGTGCTTGAAAAATTTTGCGCAGCTGTCCAACTGATCTCCTCTAAAAGATGTTGGTGAAAACTTAATGCCACTCTGGATGAAAATAAATCTTGTGACAATTATACACTTATAGAACTTATAGAAATAATGAAGTTTGTGCCATAATCAAAGCTTTAGGCAATCTACCAAAGTATTGGAGAGTATTACTTTTTTTGGGAGGTAGTGCATATTGCATATGTGTATGAGAGAAAAGCAAACACGCTAAAAAATAAAATAAAATAATGGAAAAAATAATATTAGTGATAATATATTATTTTATTCATAGTCAATTTGAAATTTTATATTTCAGAATTAAATTAATTATGAAATTATTTCAAACAGGCTGATTAAATATATGTATATTTAAGTATATTTATTTTAAAAATATAGCTAAATAAATATATTTATTAATTTAAAATTGTTATTTATTTATAAATGTATTTTTGATATATTCGTATTTTAGTACCTTATGCATTTGTTTGTGGCACTTTTGGCATTCCATAGAATTTGGGGCTTAACGTCAAATAAACATTTGGATTTAGAGCAACAAGTTGAAGCTTGTGCTTAATCATATAACAAGTTGTATTCCAGAAGTTACTTGTACTGTAGTGATAGTCTTTGTAAATGACAATAATTTAGAGAAGACGTAGCATAAACGGCGTCGCTTCAACGACAAATATCGGGTAAAATGGGTGATAGACTCTTCCGCAACTCAGTTGAGAGCACCGCTAGATGAGCTGCGGCTTCTCCGCATCAGGCCTGCAAATGTAAACAGACTGCTGCTGAGCGGTGTGTTAGCCGAAAAACCGCTGTCTGATTGCCCAGGATGCTAGGTATGCCCTATAAAAGCTCCGGCCGAGTAACAGCTGTCTCTGCAACCCCCATATCGTGACCAAATGTACAAGTAAATAACACAAGCAAGCATTTTGTTACATAAAAATAAAAGTTCAAGTTGCCGAAGAACGAGCAGCTCTGCGAGCCTCGACGACGAGCGGAGCAGCAGGAATAGCGGAATGCAAAGCCGAGCCTATCTGCATTAAGCTAACTGGCTAGGACGCTAACTAGCAAATCAGTGCTAGCTGGATGGCTCCGCCGCCCCCCTCCGGCCCCAACTCACCGATGTGATTGTCCTCGATGTGGACGATGAGCTCGGCGAGAGACTCAAACTGCAGACCGCAGCCCCCGAACCTGCAGGAATTGGAGAAGAAAGAAGCGGCGGCGATGCCCGTCATGCTTTACGGTCGCTGGCGCATTCACCGGGTGGAAAGAGGGGGGTAGGTCCGGGAGCCGGGATGGTGAACGAGGAGGCACAGGCTTCAGGGGTCCGGGGGTTGGGAGCGGAGCGGGGCAGAGCGCGGAGCAGACACCGGGGCGGCCAGACAGGACAGCGGCGGACGCAGCTGGGAGGCTGGCGGTGACGGTGGGAGTGGAGGGAGGAAAGGGTGGCTGGTGGCAGGCTACGTCACGGTGGTGCCTACCTGTTGGAGTCAGAGACAGCCTTGAATCACCGATGGCACCAAAAGACACTACAATTGGAGGAGCAGATGTTCGTGCTTTGCTGATATACTGAGTACACATCAAACAGGAAATGAGAAAATCAAGGAGAAATCATCTCGACTATCTTTTTTTTTCCTGTTTTTGCGATGCTAGATTTTCATAACTAATTTGCTAAACAGATAGCCAAACGTGGAGATCACCTCAAAAATGTTAAGTTTTATCAATTGCGATGTATTATCTATTTCTTAAAGTAACTAGTTTACTAAAAATACAGTAATGTAACTTATGCACTGGACTTATAAAGTTTTTTAAACAAATACAACAAAAGTCTTTATTAAACACTTTGCAAGTTAGTTCCATAATACCAAAATGAATATTTACTGCAGACATTTTTCCTGTTATAAAAATGGTGGCAAAAAGTGTGCAAAGAAAAATGATCGACATAATCTCGGACATTATTTCTGAATGTTATGTATGCTCTTATGTAGTTTAACAGATAGGTGCCAGTTGACATAAGGCTGTGACTTCACTGCCTGGTGAGTCATAACAGAGGTAAGTTGACTTCAACCCCCTTCTCCACATTGGTCTTTTCATGAAACACATGGACACAGCAAAACAACTCAATCCCTTATGGTCAATGGGCGAGAGGTGGGATACACCCTGGACAGGTTGCCAAATAATAACCTGGTATGAAAATTCTCCAAAAATGAAGTTTGGATAGTGTTTTTTTTTTTTTTTTTTTACCTTCTTGACTTGACCTTCCTTGTCTCCTTCTAACAGTGGCGAGTTTGTCACCGTTTCTGTTTTTTTTTTTTTATTGCTTGCAAAGTAGGCAAGTAGATGTTTGGTTGTTGCCATTTCCAGACCTATGAAGATCAACACACATCTGGCTTTCTTGTCTGGCATGTTCTCATGTCTTTGCTATTTAGGAACACTAAGACGAATGGGCTTCTGTTTCACATTAAACATCTACGCCAGGGCAATTGTAGCATATTCTCCCACCCACCAATGGAAATTTGATAATCGGTGACCTTCTACAATACAACATGAGTTTAGCACAGGGAATTTGATAATCGGTGACCTTCTACAATACAACATGAGTTTAGCACAGGGGGCTTTGGCATCTTTTGGATGAGGGATACCAATAATGTTTTTTTTTGAGGATGCTATGTGTGTGGCTCTCCCAGAGAAAGGAGAATGTCATTCTAATCAACAACTTAGCTAGCCAGACTCAGCTGGCTTCTGTTGGGTTTGTTAATCGAGCGTTAAAACAGACCGTCATAAAACAGTGGAGATGACTTCAGCAAATAACCTTCAGACCAGGGAACACTCTTTTTTTTCTGCCTTTCTTCTCTGCCATCCATTTACACAATCATATGAGACACGAATGTACAAACACATTTTCAAAGTTGCACCAAATTGCAATACAAGCAAGCGCACCCACAAAACAACATGACATCATCAGAGAACGCAGTCCTTCACACATGTACAGTAGAGAAATCCAGTTACTTCATCAGCTTCATCACAGATGTGCTCCCTTACACACACCAGGCACAAACACACTCATTACACACACACGCGGGGCATGGGCTCCGTGAGTGTGACGCAGTTGCTGAGATCCATTGCGCAAATCAGAAGTGGTCGCATGTGTTGCTAATGTAATCGAGAGAAGGGAGAGACACGCAGGGTGGGTTCGTGGCGCATGACATCATCTGATCTGAGGTCAGTAGGTGGCGCGGACAGAAAAGAGAATTCTGCCAATATTAGCGAGGTCGCGTTGTTTGAAACAAACGCGCATCTATTAACAATCCAACTGTCCATCTCTGAAGTTGTTCAAAATACACTTCTATGAAAAGTATCCCCACACACACAGACACACAAATTTTAGTTTTTTTTTTTTTTTTTTCCAAACAAGGGGGTTTCAAGTCACCCGATAAATCTTTATATCAAATGAAAACAACCTCGGTACAAACAGGACTTCATTTATTAATGGAAAAATCCTAAGCGAAGCAATCTGGCCCTGTGCTAAAACGTTATTGATCCCAAAACCCAATCAGTGGTTTTGTGCCACCCTTGGCAGCAACACAATGCATTTGTGAAATTTGCCAATTAATCTTTTACATCAATGTGAAAACAGTTTTTTGTTCCCCACTCTTCTTTGTAGATATGCTTTATTTCAGCCCCACTAGAGAGGTTTTGAGCATGACTGGCATGAATTATGGAGTTCCATTTGTGCCAAAAATATGATATGCTTACACGTCAATGCTAAGTGAATATGCTTTGTGCATAAAAAACAGACACAAAACTAACTATTACATACACACAAATATATATATATGCTTATTTATTGTTTATTTAAAAAACAAAAAACAAATTTTCTTTTGTAGTTGTGTTTTATAGTTCCATAAATTTTGACCCAAATTATGAGAGTAATGACATGAAGTTTTGCTTCTGATTTTTTTTCTCCCTCCTTTTTATGTTACATATTTTAGGAAGTAAAACTAGTAGTTTGTCTGTAGTCCTAGCGTTCACTGTGTGCTATGTATTGTTTTAAACATTTATTTTTAATCAGTGTTATTCATAAACCCTATACGGTATTGAGCGGTATTTTTTGACCTGAACTGAGCTGTTTTTTCACCAACTGGAAACAAAATGTTTCCAGTTGCATACACACAAAGCTCACTTGAGCTTCACCTTAAACTCTTGACGTAGTAGAGCTAAACAGTGCAGAGGATGAATCTTCTTTTAGAATTGTTTGCTATTTAGAGTTAGACTTGCTGGTATGCTTTGCGGTACAGTTAATCTGACGTCAGTCAGTTTGTTTGACCTTTGGCCTTAAGTATTGTATTTGTACAATTATTCTGACCTCAAGCTTTGATGAGGCAGCTCTCTGAAGCTCTCAGGCTGGCTGTTAAAAGCCCTGGTAGGGTGAAGATGCCAGACGGTAAGTGGCCTATATGCAGTCCTGAGTTATGGAGGTAGCTGTTATCCCAGCAGCTTTCTCTGCTGCGAGGGGGCAGCAGACTTCCCGGCTGCCGTCAGAGACTTTTGCAGCGTGACTGCACACCCTTCACACGCGCCCACGCTCGTGCTGCGAAATGTCTCCCCTTATCTGCGCCGAAAACAAAACTCCAAGGTTCGCCATCCACATGAGGGAAGAGCCCAAAACACAGAATGACATCATCACAACTTCCTGTTTCTTCAAGTTTCCATGGCACCAGTGGGGTGGGGGGTTGGGGGGAATATCTGCATGCTTTAAATGATTGGCGGATGGTGAGTCAGTTAGGGCCGGTCCATTTTTCTTTTCCTTTTTTTTTTTTTTTTTTTTTTTCTTTTCCGCACAACCACAACAAAACCATACCCCAGTGCTCAGCCCTGTCCTGGCTGGAGCGCCGGAAAGCCTGACCAAACATGGCACTGGTGTTATTCAGTGATGTGAATCATTACAAAGAGCGTAAACTCCTTTTACATATTGATGCTGTAATATGCTGGTAGGATGTTAAAACAAATTTTGAAACAACGGTTACGTATTAGCAGTTAGATAATCTGACTGAAATCTGTGAATCAACGGAAACACTGTGTTGAAGGGAAACTTCTTTAAGTGGACCATCATTTATCACAGAGCATCTATGACTACATTATTTTCTGTTTTATGGACAATTGTTGATCACATGCATATTCAGCAGTTTGTAGTCCTTTTTGGCTATTTCATCCAGGTATATAAGAAATAGCAAGTCAGCAGAAGTACTTGGAATGTGGAGGGACTCACGGTTCTCTCACTATCTGTTTTTCTACACTTCTCAGGACTTTTAATTATTAATAAATCCCTGCAGTAATAATATAGCAGCTTAAACGTATCAGAATCATTACATAAAATAAAACTTTAAAGTTATTTAACTTCTTCAGATGGAAAAAATAAAACTGAAAATGCAAATGTTTAAGATTCTATTTCCATCCTTAGAGTAAGCCTTCCAATGGCACATTAAAATCTTATAATATCAAATAATAACATCAAAAACAGGAACAACCATCCACTAATTGTAAGAGAAGGCAGTTCTTCTCTACATACTGGAGAAACACTAACACAATATGTCAGTAAGCAGAGTCTGAGATATATATATATATATATATATATATATATATATATATATATATGTATATATATATATATATATATAGATGTAGTGATAGTAAATACAAGTGATAGTGTCAGTGAGTTTTGGGGGTTTTTTCTTCAGAGGATTGTTTATAGAGAATCAAGGCCATCTAAACAAGAAATGTAGCATGGAATGGTCGGTTAGGTTTACACCCTGTGATGTATCTCAGTGCTTCATGACAAACAACATGTAACATCTGCAAATATCTAAACAGGACCATTCAGATAACGTTAACATGGTCAGTGTGAGGTAGAAATGCAACCTCAATAAGTCCTTTCTCTATTTTAAATGAAAAATATGATTTATTTATATGAATGAACCAAATTTGCATTTGTTCTAATTATGTTCAATGTGTCATTTAAAATACTTTTTTTCATTCATAGAAATATCAATGCATCCATAACTAGACGTACGGTGAATTTGCAAATTGTTCTTGAAAATAGCATAGAGTTAGTTTTTTTTTTAGCCTTTTATAAGAGTAAATACTGTCAAATTCAACCTGCAAATGATCAAACATCAGGACATTGTCTTTGTATGATATTAGAAGCAACATGATCATTTTTACCCTAATTTGTATATAAATTGGCAAAAGTATTAGGCATAATACAGAGCTTTGAGGGACACCTTTTGTGACATTCTGATAACTAGAATAGAATAGAATAGAATAATTATTTATTGTCCCAAGTGAAGAAATCACAGCAGTAAGTTACAGTAAGTGGGGGAATATAGCATTGCATATTTACACAAAATAAAAGTAAGAAACAGTATAAGGAAATAAACACTGCACAGTCATTACAAATAGCATGCTATCTAATCACTTCCTCTCACCAGATAAGCTGCTGCTTCAACATAGAACATGGCTGATGCCACCCCACATTTATTTACTGTATATTATATAAAAAGTTTATTAAAGAGACTGTTTGTGTTAAATAAACGTACAACATATGACCAATCCAATAACTTTAAGTCATTCTTTTCTTCATTCAATAATTAATTAGTGCTATTTATTTATTTATTTATTTATTTATTTATTTATTTATTTATTTATTTATTTATTTATGTATCTATATATATATATATATATATATATATATATATATATATATATATATATATTCAATCATGCATTATTTATGTTTATCATAAAAAGACTGCATTGTAATAATAATAATAATAATAATAATAATAATAATAATAATAAATAATGGTTTTAAAACATTTCTTTAACCATTAACCAGATCGTTTTGTGGGTCAACTCTCATGTTGTAATGACTATAGATTAGACAAAAAAAAAAAAAAAAAAAAAAAGCCCCCCCCCCGTCTTCCCCCCTTTTGTCTGCCGGTGGAGCCATGTACGCCAGCACGCTCCCGTTCCGTTCCGTCCCCCTACCGACCCGCGTCCTGTCCCCGCCCCCTTTCTCCTCCTCAAGCCTTCGCTCCGTACGGGACCGCAATGATTTAGAAGTTCAGGAATCCCACGTGACGTCACCGGGAGGGTGATGTAATGCTTCTGTAAATAGAACGTATTGTCATCGCGCTCCAGTCCAACGTGGTTCCTCTCTGGAGCGCCGCTCGTCCCTCTCTCCACTTGTAGGTAAGCCTGCGTCTACTTTTCATTCACAAAAACTTTTGGAAACCGCGCAACAAGCGGCAGCAGGCGCCGGTCGCGGCTCTCTCGTGAACTCTTCGCGGCTTCGGACGGCTTCCTAATTCATCTAAGTTTGTCCGTTCCTTTATTCAAACCAGCTGGAGAAGTTACCGGCGGCGGGACTTTTTGTAAGGTTAGGTGTCCTGGTGAAGTCTCATCAGCAAGCGGGACGGGGTTGAGCGCTCCGTGTCTATTTAGGGGGGTGTGACAGCACTCTTCATACAGCTGTGCCGGCCGGCCGGGCTTGTTTTTCTGAACAGGTTGTTTTTAGTGAGCTGTGGGACAGAACCGAGTCATGGTCCTGTTCTGACACTGGATTTACCGGCCGGAACCAACTGCTTGAATTTGATCCGAATGAACTGCGAACCTCAGGCTCGGTTCAATTCCATCTTCTATCAAATATGGAAACTTTAAAAGACAGTAAGTTGGTTCATCCTGAACGCATCTGAACAGTGTATTTAAAATTTTAAAATCATCAAAATGACTAAAAGTTATGTGTTTTGTTCCATTATTATTTATTATTATTAAACGGTGGACTATAATGTTTGATTTATCTGTCTTAAATGTTTGGTAAAAAAAAACAAAAAAAAAAAAAACAAAAACGATTGCCAGTATATTCAGAACCCAAATTAATCCCTCTTAAAGTCGCAACATATTGGCCGTTGTTGTGTGTAGGATTTATGCGTGTATGACATCATTCTGCAGTGACGTAATCACTCTGACAGAAGGATTTTTTTGCTGAAAATGTGCTGAGTCTGCTATAATCTCGTACAAATACTGCTTGATGGGACGCTGCGATAAAACAAGTTCAATGATTTGAACTTAAAGTGGAGAATTTTTATGCTTCATGTCCCTGAAGGTGTGCAGCTAATCGTTTTCCTTCAGCTGATCGTTCAAGCTGCCCATTTCCTATCTGTTATCGGGACCTTGTGAACTTGTTTGCTGTATTTTGTAACTAGTGTGTACACGCGCATCCACGCACGCGCACACACCTATGAAGTCACCTCTGCTTGCCTTAGGTTGGAAAATGGGGGCTGAGGCAGGTTCAAACCTGTCAGGAGTGTAGGCCCTGAAGTGTGGCCTTCCCTCTCCCTTCCTTCTTCTATCTGCCTCTTTTCCTCTTTTTCCACCCGTAGTCACTGCCCCTTGCCCTTTCCATTCCCCTCTCCATCACCCTTGCGTTGCTCTCCCACCCTCCCTCCCCCTCCTTCCTCACTCTTTCCACTACTTATGGAGGCATATTCTGTTGCTTTCGTGTTTTCAAGAGCTCTCACTCTTTCCCCTTAACATCAACACTCAACTCGTCTGGTTACACCTGATGCCAGAGACTTAAGTTTTTCTTCTTCTCCTGTCAGACGGAAACAAAAGGACTAGCAAAAAACTTATAGCGCCCTCCGACAGAAGCGATCTTCTCTGCCTCGCGTTTGTGTTGATGCTTTCATCCTGTGAGGGCTTGATGCAGGCCCCGGTGTGCCTTCTTCGTGCTTTCAGCGCTCTTATTGTGAGCTGGACGCCCGGTGAAAGCATAATTGCAGGCACTACACTCAGCAACATCACTGCACAGTAACCATGAAAAGTCTTACGGCTCAGAACTTCAATATCTGGCGTGCGGTGCTTACAGTCCGGTGTAAATCCCTACGAGTGCTTTGAAGGTTTTTCCTCCTTTTGTTAGGGTAGAAATCCAAATTTCAGTCTTTTATTTCCACTTTTTTTTTCTTTTTTTTTACTTCAAAACATTTGGGGTGCATATATACGACCTCCTTTTGCTCACAATTGGAGCCTCGTTTACATTTCCAACAACTCTGAGCTGCTTCACCATGGCAGCGTACCCACAGTATGATGCTGCCACTGCCATAGTTCATCATGGGGATGGTGTGAGTGGTAGTTTTCCTCCACATCAGAGTGCTTTCCATAAAAACCAAAACGTTTGAATTGGTTGCAAAAGTTCTATTTTGCGGCATCGGAGTAAAAGAAAAAAAAAAAAGAATGATTTTTCTTCTACTTTACAATAACGCACTAGTTTGCGTAATTTTTTTATTTATTATCACAGAATAATAGTATCAAGCTTCCCCACAGTGTGATGCTGCCACCACCATCCTTCACTGGGTGTTTTTAGGGTAATATGCATCTTTCCTCCTCATATTATTTTTTTCTTCTACTTGAAAATTATTCAACACTTTTGAAAATTTTCTCATAAATTCCTAATATGATCCTGCCACCTTTACGTGTCACTTTTAAAGAAAAAAATGTTGTTAAATTATATATTTTTTAATTCTTAAACAAAACAAAAAAAAAACCCAGATCCATCATCTACAGAAATACGTAACACATACTTTCCACACTCGAGCAAATAGTGTTTTACCTCTCATGTGTTATTTTTCTCTTCAGATGATTCTTCCTGCAGTGTAACTGTCTGACCTGTGAGGCACGAGGAATGCTCCCCTTCTCGGTGGCGAGGCTCCACATTGACACATTGTTCTTGATTCTTCTGTCTGTGCAGGCTTGTGGATGACATGAATGACAAACAGGACAGGCCTTATGTGTGCGGCGCCCCCGGCTGCTCTCAGGTCAGTAGGACACGGCGTGACTTGCATTCTAGTAAAAGACGAGTTTGGTGATTTATGTCTTTATGTTCTTATGGAAATGAATCACGCATCTACGTCACCTAATAATAAAAACAGCTTCTAAAAATAGCATCTGGAGATGTGACATCATCCTTTTCTCATCAAAGGAGTCAGATTTTCTTAACTACTGATAAGATTAAGAGTATTGTGACCGTTTGCGATAAGAGAGATAAGCCAGTGTACTTCAGCAATTTATGCCTCGACTCTTTCGCTTCCTCCTTCCGGTGGGGCCTGCAGCGCTTCCAGCTAGAGGAGCACCTGCTCATTCACAGACACAAGCATGAGATGACCCTCAAGTTCCCCCCGATAAAGACGGACATAAGTTTTTCAGGTGAGGTCAGATCGTCCACCTAACTGAGGTGACCGCATCTTGCATGTGTCGTTCTGTTCTCTCCTCCCAGTGGTTCAGCATTGGGAGGAGAAACACTTGTCATCAAAAGCTGTTATAAAAACCAGCTTGTATGTCTGTTTTTTTTTTTTTTTTACATACATATTTATGATATGGTTTGCTTTTATAGACTGAGAGCTGGATGAAAAAAGAAAAAGAAAAAAAGATGGCGATATGTTACACAATATATGATCTGATAACCCCAGAGCAGGTTTCCTTCCCTCAGGTAGTCCGCGCTGTGAAACAGAGGGGCTCATGTTGCAGCATGCACAGTAAAGCGCGCCGGGTTTGGCACAACATGGCTTGATTCAGAAACAAAAACAGGACTATTGATGTCTGATTTTTTTTTTTTTTTTTTTTTTGGGCTCTATTTTATATTTAAAGTAAAAAGCATTTGGTGCACAGGTTAGATTTTTGTGTAATCAGTCTAAACATTTTAAAATTCAAGATAATGCCCCCTGATAGATAACACTCCTTTGTTGTTTTTTTGGCTCTTCCGGAGCTTTTGGACCAATTTCCTTTGATCGGGAACGCTAGTTTTGGTCAGTTGGGCATTCGAACAGACCAACGATCACAAACACACATTAATGATTTGGAATGGCAATCCCAAATCCCTGATCTCAGCTCGATGGAAAGTTTCCAGACTATTCTTAAACTATTACTTTAAATGAGCTCTATTCTCTCGAAAAGAATGGCTAAATTTAAAAACATAATTACACCAGGACATTGTTATTGGCCAGACTACGTGTGTGGTCTGTCTGGCCCTTTATGATTTAATGTGCATGTATACGGCCCTTGATCCTGTATGCAGAATTTGGAACCTGGTATGAATTACAGACAGCATTCGCAACAATAGATTTAAACTTGTGCATCCAATTAAAAAATGTTTTTAAAACTTATTGAAATTGTTTTGCATTAATTTTCTATTCTGAAAACATAAATAAATAAATAATAGCACAATAATAACATGTAATTTTATGGAACAACAGGCCTCGCAGTTACAGAACATTCTGTTTTACACTGAAGGCGAATGAGAAACTACTGTTGTCTTTGATCCGCGTGCGTTTTTGCACACAGCATTCTAACGAACGAACACGATGAACCAATTAGCAGATATAATGGTTGAAGTAAGCCTAGAAGCAAGCAAAATGCTACATCCACCTTGAGGTATTAAAAACATTTTCCTTCATCCAGTGAAAAAATTTAGACTGTCTCAATGAACCCTAAGCACGTTTTTAAGTAATCTTAAACGTGACTAACGATCTTTAGGACAGTTTTATTAAAAAGTGGTATTTTACATCAAATGTTTTAGATTTAAAAAGTCATCTAGGTAACACATTTACATAAAAGCCTGTAAAATCTAAATCACTTTTGAGTCGTTTTTATTGGATCATGACCTCTTTGTTTTCCATTTCTATCTCCTATTTCCTCATGGAGTCACCCTGTGTTTTTATTGTCTTGTGATAGTCTAAACAGGGTCATTCTTGTCGTTATAAAACAATAATAAAATAATAAAAACGCACGTATTCAACGCGGCGGATCTTTTTGTATGTCGTGCATTTAACGCAACGAATTCATAGTAGTGTCAGTGCCAGATCCCTAAAAAAAAAATCGGCAAAATGTTGAGTAACTCTGTGGTTACTAATTGAATGACCCAGTGAGCCAATAATATCTAAGCTATGTAGTCAAAATGCTGTCACACGGTCAGATGTGTTAACATAGGATCAGCTGTCTCTCTGGATGTAAACATTAGAGTGGGATCTAACCTCCACAGATTCACCCCCACCCCTCTGGGACCGTCGCCCCCCCTCCCCCCACCCACCGGGGTCCCGTGTCCTGCAGTCTGTCTGGCCTCCTGCAGGAAATCTGGTGTCAAAACAATGAGCCCGGCTGACCCCTGACCCCTGCATGTTTAGACGGCTCAGAGAGACAGATCGATGTTATCAGGGAGTCAGGCTGGGAGCTCGGCTTGTCTCTCTCCTCCTTGCATTACAGCCTGGATGACGGTTGGTTTTAGAAGGCGTATCGGCTCGAACGGCGGAGGCCGCCGCCAGAAGCTGGGCAGCGAGGGATGAATTTATGTTAAAAAAATTTAAATCCGTCTCTTGTTTTTTTTATTTTTTATTTTTTTTTTTTTAACATCTGATTGCGTGTGATGTTTTCAGACCAGACTCCGACCCCAACGCGATTTCTGCAGAACTGTGAAGAGGTTGGTCTGTTCAAGGAGATCGAGGAGGAGTTTCTCCAAGCCCAGGAAGAGGAGAATAACAAACAGGTACATAAACAAAGGATTTGCTTCTTCTCACTCTTTGAAAACAAAAGTCCCATCGACATGCGAGACACAGTGCAGACCTGTGCGAGTTTGCTTGTGGAGTCTGTGACGGTGTGCGCCTTGAACGGCGGTTGTTTGTTTGCGAGGGGTGACGACGGGAGTCAGACCCAATTAGTCGACTGCAGATATCCGACCTGCTGCGGGAAAGACAAACCAGGCGATCACATTCTCCCCTCTAAATTAAACAGCCAGCCCTCAAACGCAAAGGCGCACACCTTGACGCTGGCTCAGAGTTCCGAAAAGATCCGAGCCAGTCTGTTGCTTCTACTTCGTCCTCTGCAGATGCTGTCTCATAATGGGCCGACTTGTATGAATCAGCAGCATCTAAAACCCCAGCTGCAGCTTCAGCACCCTCCCCAGCCGCCGCTCAGTCATCCCCAGGCCCCGCTGCATCATCCCCAGGGCCATGGCCCAATGATGGCACCGAGCTGCAGCCTGGCCGCCCAGCAAGCACTGTCCTGCTCCTCCGGCGCCTCGCAATCTGGATCGGTGATCACCCAGGCTCCCTCCACCTTAACACATTCAGGGTGAGTATAGCTTTACTTTGCTTTATATATAGACACACAGACGCTTGTATTCCAAATGACATATCAGTATCATATTTATTTGCAGCGTCTCGCAAAGGTTTTCATGAACGTTTTCACATTATGTCACCTTGCAACCACAAACTTGAATTTATGCCGTTTGGGCTAAATGTAGTAAATCAGCACAACTTTAGAAAGGGCTTACAGGGCAGTAGCCCAGGGTGCTGAGCTCTGAGGACCTCCGACCCCCCAAAAATGTGCTTTTTGGTGTTGTGTATGTTTTACAAACTTTCCACATCACATTAAACACATGGGCTCATTTTGCATGTGGTGTTTAGATTTTTATTAAATTAAACAGCTGCCAAATATTCGAAAATTATGAAGTGATAGCACATTTTTTTGGAACCAATGGGGCCAGACGTTTTAATCCAACCGTCCACCAATTTGTACCTGCCAATGGGTTGATCTACCTAACAATGTTCTTTAATTTGCATGAGAAAAAGTTTTTATTTTTATTTTTTATTTTTAAAAGAAAGGGCTCTAAAAGTGGCCCCAACCCAGGGCCCCTTATTCTTCTAATTCCGCTAAAGGATGTAAGGCATAACTGTAAAGTAAAAGAAAATTATACATGGTTTCATAAAATATTTACAAATAAAAATCTGACTAGCATTCAGTACCCACTTACTCCAATCCCCCTAAATTAAATAAAATCCAGCCATTTTGTCTCAAAGGTCACCTAATTAGTAAATATAACCCCCCAGTGCAGTGTTAATTGAACTCAATATTAACTACAAATATTCAAATCTTGTCTTTATTAAAAAATAAATATTAAGAAGGCCATTGTTGAAAGAAATTCCTGATAAGTCCTATTTAAAGTTTGGCTCTACCCAAACAGCTGACATGTGAATGAAGGTGCTCAGGTGAGACCAAAACTAAACTTTCCGGCTTACATGCAAAACATGTATAGTGGAAAACTAACTTTGTACCCCAATACTCTAATCCCTTTAATGAACAAATGGCTGTGCCAGTGTCATGTTATGGAAAGGAAATGAGTCAAAGTGAACAGAAAGACAAGAGACAAATACAAAAACCTAGTGAAATCAGTTTGTGCTTAGAATGTGACAAAATTTGGAAAAACTTATGATGCATATGCATACTTTGCAAGGCATTGTACTTTACTGTCTGCATAGCACTGTGCACAACACTTTTTTTCTTCTTCTTGTGTTCCTTGTTTTTGACATATTATAACTCATTCTGTCGGGGCAGCGGCTGGCGTTTTCCTCTGCATAATTCATTACCTCATTAATGAAGTGAGAGCAAGGAAGAAAAAGATCAAACATTTCATTCCAAGGGAACAAAGTGCAGATGGAGAACCGCTGCAGCATAACGCCCACTCAGTCCTGTTGACTCTACCCGCCCCAGTGCCCGACTAACCGCCTCTATTGTGTCTGTAAAAACTCAGAATCAGACTGGAGTCTCTCAGCGCCCGGGCAGCTTCCTTGGCTCCCTGGTTATCACCCAGTTCAGCTGACAGATTAGAGGAGGTTCCTGTCTTTCATCCGACCAGCTCCCAACAGCTGCTCCCACTCTGCCAGACAGTTTGGCTCTAGATTTGTTAACTCAGGAGAAACTCAATCTTTGGGATTTCTGAGAACACAGGCACTCACTACGCTATGGACGCAAAGGTAGATTTGTAAGAACAACGAAACGGAGAGGAAATAAACATATCGGTTCTACCCGAAGAAAATCATGTCCGCATGTCCAGCGTTAGCCAAGTTGTGACAAATTAGTTAAACTTTAAAGTTACATGTTTTGAAATATTTGATCAGATTACAACCACAAATTTGAATGCAGTTACTTAACTTTTCCTTGAAACACTGTGGGGACGGCATAAATCTGTGGATTACGCTATTTGGATTTCAAGTAGTTTTTCTGCATTATTTAACAGTATTTTTTTTTTTTATTGCTTCAGTTGGTGAATTTGCGATATGTTATCAATCAATCAGTCTGTACTTCTGCAACAGATTTCTAAATATGTTGTGTACTGCATAATGTGAGACAATTCAGTACCATATGACGCACAATAATTCCACATAGTAAAGTTACCAAGATAAGAAGATGCAATACAAAACAATACTCCACTATATTATATACTATGCTCTAAAATACCATGTAATAAAATATGAAACAGTCATGAGATATAAAGTCATACCGAAATGTATCATATGACACAATGCCATAGAATACAATATGACATGATTTGATTCGAGTACACAGTGGACCCCCCGCTTATTTGTGGCTCAGTATTCGCAGATGCACCTTTTCGTGTGTGTTTTTTCAGCGGGACGTAACTTCAAATTAAAAATCACCTTTGTGCAGATTCTTCAGAAAAAAAAAAAAAGGAAGCAGCTTGGGAAGTTGAGGTACCTTGGCACGACGTTACTTGACGTGCGCTTGGCTGCTGTTTGTAACGCAGTCAATCCAGGAGCAGGATTTCATTTTCTTGACGCTGATTGGTTGTTACCCAAAGAGCAAAGATAAGGATGACTGTTGTGAGCTCGTGCAGTAGTGCTAAGACAGTTTCCGTTGTGCATTCATGTCAAAGGTGTTTTTGATGTTTGAACTGTCAAAACAGGCTCTTGCAAGCATTTTTTAGAGGGAGTGTCAACTATTTGCAGATTTTAGCGAGTCAGATGGGGTTGTGATTCCTAACGGACACGAATAACAGAGACCCTCTGTGTATGAAGGTACATTTTGTTGTCTCTTTGCTGTTTTAGGCTTATTGCTGTCCAAATAGCTGACACAAAGCAAAAGATCAGCAAATGAATCAACTTTTAAAGCAAACCTGTCCCCACCAGTACAGGGGATTGCATCATTTGGATTTGTGAGATATATTTTTCCATCACAAAAAACATAGAGGCTAAATGAAAAGTGCTATAAGCATGCATGCAGATCAGCAGTCTTACCTTATAATCTCAATAATCTTGTAGGTCCTGGAAAAAAAAAACAAAAAACAGTGGTACTATCTCTAGAAAATAAAGCAGTTGTCTCTGAACTTAAAAATGTGCCTCACATTCTAAAAGATGCTATTTAGGCTAAGCAGTTAGAATCCCAGGAGTTTTGAAAAAATACAGACATTTTGGTCTTTACATTCTAAAATAATTTTTTTGAAAACCTAAAATTATGTACTTGTTATTATAATTCAATTTTCCTAAACTGGGAAAAGAGGAAAAGAGAAGCAAACTAGCGTCGGACTCGCAGGGAGACACAGGACATTGTTTGTCTTTCATCCCAAGTGTCCGTTTGACATTTAGGTCTTCCTATCTCCTGACCTACATATCTGACTGGATCACACGAGGAACATAAACAAAACATCTGCTACATCTCTGCTGATGATTAGCTGAGTCAGTAGAATGAGCCTCAAACATCTGCCGTGGCTCAGGCAGGCCATGACAGGACAATACGGAGAGAGAGAGCAGACAAGTCAGTCACGACGCAGTAAATCAGTGCCACTCAATCCAGACGTTGCGTTAGTCAGTGAAACCAATAAAGTGTTACCGAATGTTGCCTGTACTACAATTCCGACTGTTTCCAGCGATGTTTACGAACCGTTACCATGGCAACCGGGTTTCTGAGCGTCTGACGACAGGCCGCGTAAAGCTGTTTTGGGTTCGCCTGCACTTGACTCTATGTTGAAGGAGACGTAAATTCCCCCGATTCAACTATGACATCCTTGCCGATGACATCAGAGCAGCCGCAGAGACCCACGCTATCCGACTGGCCCTCAGCCAGAACGGTTAGGTCAGCAGCACATGACACCCAACGCTCTGCATCCCTGCTGTGATCCCCGAGCCTCCATGCTCTCTTTCAGTCTGCCACTTCTTTCAGTGTACTGTGTTTTCTTTAGTGTGTTTCTCCTTGCTTTCCCATTTTGAATTCTTATTATTCAGTTTGTTGGTTCACAGTGCCACATTTCATCTATAGACCCGTATGTTGAAGGACGTTTATCTCTCGGCTGCTTGAAAGTTATTTTCATATGTTGAATGGCAGAGTCTATGTCTGCCTTGTGTTCTTTCTATTTTTCCAAAAAGTTTTCTGGGGATAAAAAAATGTAAGAAAAATTATCTAAAACAAAGTTTTTGTTTATGTTTTTCCCTAAGAAGAATAGAATAGAATAGAATAGAATAGAATAGAATAGAATAGAATAGAATAGAATAGAATAGAATATTTTGCCTTGCAAAGAAAATAAAAGTTAGGGGCGACAACTAATCAAACACAGAAATAGGGATATGCTTTGAAAATAACCTTTTAAAACCATTTATGAAAATGCTATATGAAATATGAGAGTTTTTTTAAAAGGGGTTAGTTCATGTCTTTTTTTATTTCACTGCTTCCTCAGCATACATTTCGTATTTGTTTTTGGGTTATTTTTATCTTTGCAAATATGGTATTTGTGCAGCACAAGGAATGTTTTTTTAAGTGCTTAGAAATAAAGACGAACTTTCCAAAAATATGGGAAAAATGATCAAGATCTAACATCTCCGCTGTTGTTGCTCATCAACGTCTGGCTATTAAAGATGGGATCTCTCCTTTGATCATCTCTTATCAAATAGAATAACCGACGTCGTCATAAAGGCCTTACTTACCCTGCCGTGAACATTTGTTCAAGTTTTGCTAAACAGGTAGCTCCAATGTGGACACGACCATAAAAGTGTCAACTTGTGCCTCTTTCTGAACCGGGGTCGATGAAACGTTAGCTGAGCAGAGCTTCCTGGGCTGACCTGTTTTTCTTTCTGTGTGACCGACCACAGGCCGGCTCCCGGGGCGCTGTCCTGCCTCCTTCAAATGCGGAACAGACACAGACAACCTCTGCCAGCCTCATTACCTGGCACCTTGCCAGACCCCGCCATGCAAGGGGCATCTGCTCAGCACATGACCGTAAGTGTCGGAGGCTTTGTTGTCGTGCTCACATTCACACAGTTTCGCCTGTGCATGATCGATTGTTTATAAGTGATGGGGCGTCTACTTGTATAAGCGGGTCGTCCTCGCTGAATTATACATATTTGCTGTCGTCTTTGAAATTTTTGACGTTCGGATGTATTTGTCGAAAGAGTCGGATATTAAACGGATGTGACAAAGACGGGAGGCCTTTCTGTTTTTTAATAATGACGTGATATTGTGTTGTTTTCTTAGAGCTGCAAAAAATATTTGTGTCAATATTTTGTCTTCATCAGATAGAAAAGCAGATGTCTTGTGCAATGGGCATACCAGCTCCTGTTCAAAACCCGTCCTGTTGTTCTCCTCAGGTACCACTAAATGTTTTTGACTACTACAAAATCATCAGTGTTTATAAAAAAATAAGATATCAGCTAATACATCTTTATGCACTCTAGTAGAATTAGATTGTAAACTTAACATACAATATTTTACAGCATACATTCTCACTTGGTTTAATGATACAATACAAAAATTACATTACGCAATGTGATACGATACTGGAAATACAATACAGTATAATGCAACATATGTAACAGTGAGATCTGATATACATAGTATAATGTGATCCAATATGATCTGTTGAATCAGAATTAGCATTATTAGCTATGCTTGTGCACACAAACAAGGAACTTGACTTTGGTTTCACTTTGCTCTCAACGTACAGACATTTAAGTACAAATACGTAAAAATTATGTAACAAGACGCAATATGATATGAAGTTTTGTTTTCCGTGACTGACCACAGACCGTTTTGACGCACTTTTGTGGGCAGTGCTGTAAATCTCGACGTACCACAAGTCACAGTTTATGGCGCATTCCTCCAAGGGTGAAACTCAGATCTTGAAATTACACTCGGTTTTTAGAAGACAGAAAACAAATCGAGTTTGATCACTGCCATAAACATGTGCCTGCAGTTCGTGAAGACTGGCTACATCTGGCTGCTTTCATAAGATACAAACTGCCATTTGACATGAGTCACTATCCCACTATCCTTTCTGGGAAATTTGAATTTCCCAGAACAGACTTTGGTAGTCTGTTCTCAAAAAACTAGGTTGACTGTGAGTTTCATACAATGAAGCCAGTTACCTTAACTTGTCAGTATAGATGAGAACTACCAAGATTTACCTAGCAGTAGCAACACGCAAGCAGTCGCTTTCTTGGTCACAGTCAAAAGTTAGCTTTAGGTCACTTATATACCAAACATTTGAGCTAATTTCCTTAATTACAGATATCTGTATGATAAAGGGAACAAAAAGACATTTAGCAACCATGTCTCTAGGTATCACATGTCTGTTGCTTAACATCCAGAAGCTGCTGGATATATTTTTGTAGCTCAATAGTCATCCAGCAGCTCCCATCATTCCATAGTCACCTGATGTGATAGTTGTCGTGAAAAGTGTTGTCACTGCAGCTCGCCCCAGCACTGGTGGAAAGTTCAGGAAAAAGTCAAGGAATCTCACCTTTCACAGTCACATCTGGCTTTTAATGTCTGTACACAATCCAGAATACCCAGAAGGTTGAGAATCCTTAAAATACCTGTTAAAAGTGGGATAAAAAAATTAATTATCTGGAGACCCAAGAGCTGAATCCAAAACCAAACCTCTCTGAATCTACAATGTGTTGGAACCCATAGCCTTGGCTGTGAACATCCGCGATGATTCGGATGTCAAAAGCTGGGCAATACTCACGCAGCGGCTTGAAGGCAAAGATGAGAAGAAGCAAAGGCTACAAGTCTTTTGTAGCCTTTGAAGATCCATTCTTTTGGCCATAAAGTAAATCCATCCTGCAAGCGGCGACAAAGAGTGGCGACTTATCCTAGAAGACGGTGACTCATTTATATATTTCTCCATGCTTTCGCTCTTTGTTTTGGAAAAGTTACATTAAGTACATGCAGCTGGACTCTACTTACGAATTAGGCCTACCTACTAATTAGGTGACTTCTAAAGGCTCTTTGGCTCCTTTAACTTTACAGTGATCCGCTGCTTAATGTCGCCTTATCACATAAATCCGTGATGATGCATATTGAAGCTTGTGGTAGTAACATGAAAAAAAATGAGGAAAAGTTAAAGCAGTAGCAACATTTTTGCAAGGCTTCGCACTGTTTCGCCCGGGCCAGCCCGTATGAACTCTTAGCTGCTCCCCGTTTGTATCATCACAGCTGAAACAAAGTCAGTTGTCTCTTCCGGATCCTCAGCACAGCACGATGAGCTACAATCAAGTGTTATCAGGCGCTATTCATTCCCAGGTGTGAAACGGGACACTGCCTCTTTAAAACCACAGGAGGTGCATTAACATGCCTCTGTTGTACAGTAACAGTGCACTCAGCTGAAGTGGAAAAACAAACATTTGACAAGTGGATCAGTGTTTCATGTAAAGTTTTATGTCTTCATTCACCAATCCCTCTAGACAGAAATATCAAAGTGGTGTGTCATCTAGGCCAAGAAGACCCATGATGTAATCAGCAGCCCCAGCGTCATGGTGTTTGTATGTAGTAAACAGAGCTGAAATACTCATGCCCCGTCCTGCTACGTGTGTGTGTATGTGTGTGTTTGTTTGACTGGCGGCCTGGCTGGCTGGTAAAGTTGGCACGGACACTTCGGTGACCTCATCCTTGGCAGCGACTAAATGTACCCTTTTTTTTTTTTTTTTGTAGCTGAATGGTGAAGAGAGACAGACACAGAGAAAGAGAGAGCGAGAAAGAAAGAGAGAGAGGGATAAAGACTGCCTCTTCTCTTAAAGAAATATTGTGTAACAGCAAGCAGATAGTGATATTGGGAGTTGGGAGGGAGGTGATGTCATGCTCCAAACATGACCTCTCCCTATCTCGCTGAGTGTGGGAGAAAGGTGAGATGAGGTTTAATTTAGCTTGTACAGTCGCTTTAGTCAGATGATACACGGGAATAATAAAGTGTGAAGGGATCAAGCTGCAGATGGCACCATTTTGGATGAGAACACATTATCCCTCCTATCGGCGTTTGTCAACGCCGTTGGAGATCGATAGAAGAAACTCCAATTATGGACAAGATCTAATGGTTGTTTTTCGTAAAGACCTTTAGTCTATTTTCAGATACTTCAAAAAGATATATATATTAAAAAAAAATAAAAATACCTGTGTGCCGTTTGGATTCAGTGTGTACCGCTGATCACTAATGCGTTCACACTAAATCAAGAGCGTCCTACAGATTTAACGATGACCTACAGACTTAGGGTAAATTTGAAATATAAAATTTTTGTGTAGGCAATTAACGTTTGCAAAAATATCAAAATAAATAAATAATTTATTCATTGTTATTATTTATGGGGGTTTTTTTTGTGGCACGTGACAGCAAGTCACTTCAAAGTAAATAAGAAGAATAGAAAGGCCAGTTTAAAAAAAATAATAATTTGCACAAGACGAAAGAACTGTGTCATCAGTATAACTATGGGATTTACAATTGTGTTATTAAGATGCAATGTTAATAATAAAAATTGTGAGATGAATTGGTCCAAGGTCAAAACCATAGGGAACACCGTTGGGAACATACTTTAACCAAGAAGTTTTTTGTTTTTTTTTCCCCCAGCAATATTAATTTTCTTTAGCTACTTTTAGGTGAGACATAACTATGTATAACTAATTACATGAACTAATTATTAACTCACAGTATATATATTATTTATTTATTTATTTTTATTTTTTTGGGAGGGGGTGAATAAAACTCATAAAAAAGGTCTGATCAACAAATGATAAAACTTGTGGCTGAAATTTTCTAATGAAAAACAAATATTCACATTCAGCTTGTTTCAAGTTTAACTAAGCAGTAAGTACCATTATTTGCACATATACACAACTGATATGAAATGCTAACCAAATGAACCAATGATATCCTTACTTAGCCTTACCTTTACCCTTATTGTGCTATGCTATGCTGACACTCAGTCTGCACCAATGAAGATTCGCTCACCTCACCAACATGTCCTGTTTGGCATGACTGAGAGCACCTTGACATTTTTTATTTTTTTTATCAAGCCTGATGGCTTATTCTTTGATTAATTCTATTCCTGTGCTCAGAGACCCAAACAGATGGTGGGGCATCATTACTCTCATCAACACCCGGGAATGCTCGCCATCAACAATCCTGTGACACCCATGGGTCACATGATGGAGATGATGTCGCAGCGTCACCACGCCCCTCCACTTCAGCAACAGCAACACCACCATCCTCATCATCCCCACCTCCCTCATCACCATCATCATCACCAACCCAATCAACCGCCACAGCTTGCAGCTCCGCCCCACACCTACCAGCAGCGATGCCACGCTCCACCTCCACAGCACCTACGAAGCACTCAGAGCCTCCAGCTTCACCAGTCAGGGAACGCAGCACACTCTCATTCTCACCAGTCACCGCCATCACGCCTGCACCAGAACTCCCCACCTGCACCCCCACTATCCGCCCCACCGCAGGTGCAATGCGTTAACACAAAGAACACAGTCTCTGTTGGTGTTGCATTTGTGCTTTCAAGCAAAGTGATGCTACTTTTCAATGTTTTTTTTTTCTTTTTTTTTTTCCTTCAGTTATCACCAGTTGCACAACAGATGCAACCATCCCACTCTCAGCATGCAGCACAGGCAAGCTGTAGCGGCAGCAGCAGCAGCGGGGGCAGCGGCGGAGGGGGAGGAGGAGAAGGCGGCAGCCGTCGAAGAAGATCGGCTGAGCAGGACCCCGACGAGCGCAGGCAAAAGTTCCTGGAGCGCAATCGGGCCGCAGCAACCCGCTGCCGACAAAAGAGGAAACTGTGGGTGTCGTCACTGGAGAAGAAGGCAGAAGAGCTTACGCACACAAACCTACAGCTGCAGGTGGGCAACGCTTTGCGTTTTGCGAGGCTCTACGACTGAAAGAATGCAGACTTGAAGAATAAACTTCAAAGTATTTGATTGGGATTTAATGTGACAGGTGATATCCGGGTAAGCATATTCCTACAAAGCATCACACTTATCAGATCTATCTGCATCCCCAGAACGAGGTGACGTCACTGAGGTCAGAGGTTGGCCAGTTGAAGCAGATCCTGCTCACCCACAAGGACTGTCCCGTCACTGCTCGGCAGAGGGAGGCGCAGGGGTACCCCAGTGAGTAAAACCCCTTAACCCTGCACCTCTGTCTAGACAGCCCAGCAGCTTTCCCAGATCTTCATCAATGACCGCTGAGGTTATTGTTCAGGCACATTGTTCCTTCATAGTGCTAACAGACGAATGCCACATGACTGCATGTTGTTTCGCCATAATAAAGCACTCTTCTGTTCACTCAGAGACCTTAAACTGTGTCCCGCAGCACTTTGGAATAAAATCAGCTTCTAACCCCACGTTCTCCAAATATTAGCGATGCACTTTTTGTTCCTCAGGAGAGCCGATCAAACACTTAGGACGATCCGTCATCTTTACATTTCAACGAACCGTACATGTTGCACTCCAGGCAGGCTAAAGTGTATGTCCAACATAAACTTTAACTGACTGTCATGACGAAAGATTTACAAGCGGCTGTTATGCAATGATAGCCTGTGTTATATGCATATATTTCTATTCTTGTCTTTTTACCTGTATGTACAGTATTCAGTTGTTAAAAGAATAAAAAACAGATGTTTTCATATGACCTGAGCTCTAGTGGGTTTTTATTTGTCTGTTAAAACATAGAAAGCTCAAAAAGCTCAATCCGGCAGCGGACAACCCTAACGTTATCGGTGACTTTGACAGATGTCTCTGTGTCCAGCTGCAGGGGTGAGTCCAGAAGGGAGTCCCACCCCTGCAGACCCTGAGACTCAGCCACACGCCATCCAGCACAACAGCGTTTCCACCTCCTCGACAGTCGGATGTGACAACGGGCACGGCCCCCTCTCTGGACTCTAAACCCCCCTTGCTACAGATAATAGCGCTGAACTCGACGAGTGGATTCATAAATCCACAAGGACTCAAAGCTGTTTTACCGGCATCATCAGCAGCCCTTTTTTTTAATATCAGGTGCTAAAGCAAGCCTTGTTTGCAAAGCTCTGGTGTCAACTTTGACTCTTGTGTTGATGAGGAAAATATCTGGGGCTGTTTACATGAATCCAACCTGCACTTCTAACTCACGGGTGATCCAAACACAGACAATCTCTGCATGTTTTGCACTAACTTTAATAAAACAATTCCTGAGCGGTACGTTTATGTACACAGGTTGGAGAAAGAAAATATTTTACAAAAAAAAAATAACATAAAATAAAAATATAAAGTAACCTGGGTTCAATTTAATCTAAAACAAAAAAATTATGGGACTTCTTTTTGTAAAGGTACATCCCCTCCAAACACACCATTTCTAAAAACATGGTGGTGGCAGCATCATCTTGTGGGGATGTTTCTCTTCAGCAGGAACAAGGAAACTGGACAGAGTCGGTGGAAATGTGGAGGGAGCAAAACAAGCCAACGGTGAATGAAAACCTGCTTGAGACTTACCCCATGAGAGACTTAAAGCCATAACTGCAGAAAAAGGACAGCTAAATGCAATCTCTCCCCTTCCTCGGTATATTTCAACACTGCTTTGTGTTGTTCTGTCTCATAAAATGCAATGAAAGTGTACTGAAATGTGAAAATTTCAAGGAGTATGAGTACATCTTGCAGGGCTCTGTATAGTTTTTATATGTAACTAACTTTGCAGCTGCTGGTTGCACATCTTATGCCTTTTGTTTTGAAGCAAAAAAAAAATAATTTCAACGAATAATACAACTGTATTTGTGTATTAATAAGTAAACCACTTCTTCACAAAATGTTATTTTAAACATTGCAAATGTGTTCTTGTAAATAAAGTCATTCAAAGCAGAAATCTGTGTTCCAGAGCCGTAGAAATAGAAAGAAAGATTGTAAACTGGCTTTCTTGAATGTCACTTTTTTTTTTTTTTTTTTTTAC